AGTCGCCCCTGCGGTGGGTTGGGCCCGCAGCCAGTACAGACTGCGTGCACCTGCTGCTCAGCTTTGGTGCTGACCCTGAGGCTGTCTCTGAGGATGGCTACAAGCCCCTGCATCTCTGCAAGAGCCCAGACTCCATCGAGTGAGTTCTACCAAGGGAACGCAGTGGGCCTCCCTCCCCCTCGAGCCTTGTCCTGTGTAGAAGGGGTCCCTACTCATCGCTGCAGGTGGGCTGGTGGTTGCAGCAATGGCTGCTGAATGGGGCGGCCTTATGGCCTGTTCCTGGACCAGGATCACATCTGAAGTCCAACAGGTGACTGCAAGCTCTAGTCCTCAGCTAATGCGACTGAGCTTGGTGCTGCTGTCTTGCTGTCCACCAGCAATGCAGAGCTGATGGTTCATACTGAGGAGCTCAGGGCATGTGCTGTGCAGGTGGGCCTCTGGGTGTGTGTGAGCAGAGTCTTGAGCGTGATGGTACTTTATTGAACATCTGTGGAGAGTTGACTAGAATTAGGATGACAGTATCTCAGCTCACCGGTCATCCTGGTTTAAAACCACTGCTCTAGGGCATGAGGAGCAGGGATTTTTGGACTCTCAAGGAAAGTGAAAGCTGTGGGATGGTACAGACATGGGGGGTGTGAGAGGTAGGATAGGAGCTGGAGAGGAGAGCCTGTCACTGAGTCATCTTGGCCCACATAGGTGCGTCCAGCAGCTGCTGCAGCATGGCGCCGGTGTGAACAGTCGGACAGAGGAGGAAAACGACACAGCACTGCACATTGCAGCACGGCATGGCCTACCAGACCACGTGCAGCTGCTTCTGTGCTATGGGGCAGAGCTGGAGGCAAAGAATGAGGAGGGGCAGACACCGCTGAATGCTGCCTGTGCTCAGCCCCATCAACCCCAGGACATGGACCGCTACTACCGTGTCTGCCAGCTGCTGGTGGAGAGTGGTGCTAGCATCAATGCTGCAGATAAGGACCGTCAGCACCCGCTTCACCTGGCCTGCAAGAATGCCAATGCTCAAGTAGCAGAGTTACTGCTGGCCCGAGGTGCAAATGTCAACGTCATGAACTACAGTGGCAACACAGCACTGCACAATATCCTGCAAGCAACTGCCTACAAGCTAGAGCACCACCCAGAGCTTGTGGTGCGAGCCCTGCTCAACTACGGTGCCATCCGCATCTGGCCTGGTGCCCTCCTCAAGGTGTGGGGTGCTCAGCTGTGCTGGGGGCATGGTGGGAAGGGAAGGCTGTGAAGATCAGGGCCTCTGTAAGAGCAAGGATGTTTCTGTCACAGCAGGGCTTGTTCTATGCCAGCCTGCTTGCTGTCCTGCCTCACTCTTCCCCAGGGGCTGGGGGAGGGGGATTTGGCATTACTGGTAAGGGGTTCCCTGAAGTTTTCTCCTGGGGTATGTTCTCCTGTAGCACTCTCCTGTCTTTTAAGCTGTGTGGACAGTACGTACTCAGTTTCCATAGTCACTTGCCCTGGGAAGAGTTGGCCCTTTTCCTCTTGGGGGATGTGTTTCCTTTTTGGGGTGTACCCTCCAGCTGATGCTGTCTCTGCAAGATACTAGCAAACAAAGGGTTAACTTCTTTTCTTAATTCCTGAGCAGTGCAATAATTACCCAGCCCGGAGATCAGCAGATTGCTCTCCCCTTTGGGAAAATACAGGAAAATCAACAATTAACACTAATTAATCTCCTATTAACGCCAGATAATGAGGATCACTTGTACAGCCGGAATAGACTCTGACAGCTACTGCTGGCCTGGGCCATGGGGAGTGGGAGCCAAGAGCTGGGAGGGGGATTGGCTGCTGTGCAGCTATGCATGGGTGGGGTGTGCTCCAAAGGCCACTCTGGTGGTGTTGGATACACAGCACCAGTGTGTTGCGCCTACGTGGACATGGTACACACCAGAGATGTTGCATGAAATAGGTATGATGTCTTCCTGGGGCTCTGTGTAGCAGCTAACATGGGCACAGTACTTCTTGGGACACCCATTGCACGCAGCACAGATACAGGGTATCCCTGCAGCCCTGCGCTGAGCAGGCACAGCGCATCCCTGAGACCCCTTTGTAGCCCTCAACAGAGGCATGGCATGCCTTAGTCTTGCTGAATGCAAAATGGGTGTCAGCCCTTGCCCCAGAACGGCTCATGCTCTAACTATAAAAATGTGAGGAAAGGAGCCTGGCATAAAGCAGAGTGTTAGTTGCTTATGAGCTGCTTGCAGCAGTGAGGCAGATGGAGGTCTGCATCCCAGCCATGCATGTTAGTCCCTGCGTCTGAGGAGAGGCTGTGGGGACCCACTTGTGCTGAATGCAGCTGTACTGTGCATGTTGGGTGTTGGCTCAGACACTCCTCTGTGCAGGAGTGGTGCTCTGGCATTTCCCACCATCAGTGGTTTGATCTCCTGGGACAGCATGAGGGAAGGACGTTCATTCCCTAGATTTACCAAGGCTGGTTTTGTGCAGCTTTTTGGGAGGTGAAGGTGGGGTTTGCAGGACCTTGCCCAAAGGCAGTGTTCATCTACTCTCTCCCTGGCACAGGTGCTGAGGTACTGCCATACCTGCCCACGTGTCATCGAGGCCCTGATGAACAGCTATGATCATGTGCGTGTCTCTGAGGACTGGGTGGAAGCAGTTCCAGCGGAGGTTGTGCAGGTGAGGGGATGGATGCTGCTGTCTGGAGAACATGCAGCCAGGCTACCACAGCAGGGTGCCAGAGAAGGCTTGGGCATGACAGGGCTGGGTGGAGATTTGCAGGGCACAGGGGTGGTGCTGTTGGGGGACAGGGAGGATGCACCGTTGTGACTAAGGGATGTCTGGCTCTACCTCTGCTCCCAGGGTGATATCTTCAGCTTATCTGCTTCTGCTCCTCTCTCCTCTCTCTGTAGAAATACCAGTGTTTCTACCAGTCACTTTTCTCCCTGGAGCAAAGACCTCGCTCCTTGCAGCACCTGGCTCGCTGCACACTCAGGACCTTCCTGGAGGGCCGGTTGCTTCTGGTCCTGTCTCAACTGCACCTGCCAAGTGCCTTGCACCGTTTCCTGCTGCTCAGCTTCGAGGATGTTCTCTACTAAGAGCTGTGGTTCCAGTCCTCCTGTGCCTTTCTGTGCAGATGTTCCATCCCTGCTGGTGCAGTCTGTGCCTTCCCAGCTAACCCCTTCCCCTCACACACCTCCTGCCAGCCCACTTCAGCCCCCATGTGCCAAACCTGTTGCTGTGTCCCTGTCCCAGCTAGCCTTGTGCTCTGCCTCGTGCACCTATTTTGAAGCATTCTGTTTACCTGTGCTAATCAGGACAAACTCAACGTACTAAGAAAAGCAAGATATGGGGATTAGGGCATTTTGTGGGACAAGGAGCAAATACACTGCATTGATCGCAATTTTAGTCGTAGGGTCTCAGTCTCCCTATCCCAAATCTACAAACTTTAACCTGAGCTAGCCAGCTCTCATGCCCTGGGCTTTTGTTGGGATCTTGTCTTTAGTCAAGTTGTTTACAGTTTGTACCCAAAGGTGTTTGGAATAAACCCTAGTCTTTCTCTGTACCTACTAGAGTACAGCTTCTGCCTTGCCTTGAAGACTGTCCTGACAGAGCTCATCCATGTGGCATGCCGTGCATATAGTGGCATGTGCACTCAGACCTATGCATCCATCTGCCTCTCAGAAGACCTAGGGAAATGTGTGGTAAGTGTGGAGCCGAGGCCTCCCAAACAAACACTTCTCTTGCTGGTATGATGTCTGGGGTTGCCTGGCTTTGCACCTTGGGGCAGGACAGCAGTGCTTGTGCCAGCCCTGAGAACTTTGATGTGGGGCGAGGAGGAAGCATGCCCTGAGAATGCCGGTCCCCTGGGCACAGAGTAGTCAGCCCCTATGATAGCCCAGCCAGCATCTACCAGAGTACAGTGCAGGTCCACATGCTGCCTGGGCTGCACTGTACTGTAGACAAGGTAAAGAGCAATGTTTGTTCCTGTGATTTAAAGGTATAGTTGTAAAGAAAACAAAGCACTAACCGTCCTTTAAAGATTTGCTGTAAGCTAACT